CACATACATGTTTTATAATAATATATAAAGAAAATGGCGAACAATGGAGGTTTAACTTTCTCCTTCAATTCTTGACACGAAGAGAAAGTATCCAATATCAACCAAACTTGTATATCCATGCATCGCTTGTCCATATTTGGGTAAAATATATCAACAACTCCTTCACAAGAATGATAGTAAGGTATCTTCAACAGAATGATCCGAAGAAAACACTGTGAACAAAAAGTAGAACATTTATCATAATGGCCGATATTTCACATTAACAATAAACAATAATTCTTTTGCACGTTATTATCACATCATACACAATGAGAAGATAAGTTGTGAATGATAGAATAAAGATATATATGCATAAGGTAAAGGGCCAAGTCAATTCCGAATATTATACATGAACAGAATTTTAAGATTTAGTTTCAGAGAAACAAAAAAAAAAAAAAAAAATGTGTCGTTTAGACCACACAATAGAAGTGAAAACAAGACGAGATTAATAATATGAAATATAAATTATAAATAACAGCTCATTATAAAGAAGATGAAATGCTGAACATTTCCTTCGCTTACAATATGCAGATCCGATTTTTAGTTTCAGATATATTTCAATCCGTGCAAAAATGCAAAAATACTCATATGCACCTAAAGATCACCACTTCACTTCAAAAAATTAAAATAAAAACAATTATTATATTGTTTTAGTTAAAATTTTCCTCGAACAAAAAAATTATGAAGTACAGACGAAGTTTGTCTGAAATGAGTTAAGTTGAAGATATCACTGCTTTTGTTATTTTCGAAATAACATCGAGGACTGGAGCTAGGATGAAAATTTGTAGCGAAAATAATTTATTGTTCGATCGCTATGGAAATTCGTATTTTCATATATTTTCACCTTAAAAAATATGACCCCACTTTGTTCTTTCGTTCGGTGTAAATTGTTTCATTTCAACATTGTACCCAAACTATAGCTACATGTCAAATATAAATTTGTTATAATAGATCTCTTCTAACTGAAAATGACTCTATAATGAAAATATTTTATCGAACATAATTGTTATCGATATGGATGATTTGTTTTACTTGATGAATATGATGGCATTTTTACAGAAATAAATAGAAACTTTATTTTATTAAACTTGAAAAATATAAAAATAAATATGAGAAGGAGTTAGTCGGGGGTGCGGTCAAATAAATACTAAATTAAAATATAGTAATTATTTTATTTTAATTTTGCCGACCCACTTTGCAGGTCGTCTTCAGGGCTACAAAAGATACAAAACATGTTGAAAATAAAAAATAAATATAAGTAGATATAAAATAAGAAAAGTTGTCAGATACAGAAATAAAATATGATATCAGAGATATAGTGGGTGACAATGTAGTAAAATATTAAGTATTATATATGTAGAAGATACAAATAAATGGGAAATATGTATGAATAAAAAGGATACATTTATTTTTATTTTTATTCATACTTATTTCCCATTTATTTGTATCTTCTACGTATATAATACTTAATAATTTACTACATTGTCACCCACTATATCTCTGATATCATCTTTTATTTCTGTATCTGACAACTTCTTCTTATTTCATATCTACTTATATTTAAGTTTTATTTTCAACATGTTTTGTATCTTTTGTAGCCCTGAAGACGACCTGCAAAGTGAACGAAACGTCGGCAAAATTGAAATAAAATAATTACTATATTTTAATTTAGTATTTATTTGACCGCACCCTCGACTAACTCCTTCTCATATTATATCAACGGTCAACCATCTCTACATCATAAAAATAAATAAATGTACTTTAATAAAAATTATTTTTATTTTATTTTAAATTATTTTTTATTTTATTTTTTTAAAAGTATTACGCCAAAGGCCATCAATAACAAGCATGTTCACTTTATTTATTTTTTATTCAACGTTTAATAATAAAACAGATAAAGTAACTGATCTCTAACTCCTCCATCCCATTCCTAACTAGATGAATGAGGTCTTTTATGAATGAATGCGTTACAGAGGAACATCAGACTTATATGAATGAATGCGTTATAGAGGAACATCAGACTTATATGAATGAATGCGTTATAGAGGAACATCAGACTTATATGAATGAATGCCTTATAGAGGAAAATTAGACTTATATGAATGAATGCCTTATAGAGGAACATCAGACTTAATATCTTTTACAACGGAGGTATATATTTTAAGATCGAATTATATTATTTTTCAAAGCCTCACTCTATGAAATAAGGGGAAATGATCAACTGACGAATTATAAAATAGTGATATATTTTTAAACAAATTATGAAATGTTGCATGATAGGTAGATAATTTTTGCATTAATTTTAAACCAAAACATTTATTTAAAATTTTATTTCATTTAAATTTTATTTATTTTATTAAATTTTATAATAAATTTTTTTAATAATTTTTTTTTTTAAATAGATTAAAAATATAGAACAAGGCGTATATATGCAACAAACTGTTTATAATGATATATTTTAAAGAATAATAACTAAATTAAAAATTGATGTAGAGATGGTTGACCGTTGATATAATATGAGAAGGAGTTGATCGGGGAGTGCGGTCAAATAAATACTAAATTAAATAAATAGTAATTATTTTAATTTTTGCCGACGTTTCGACCCACTTTGCAGGTCGTCTTCAGGGCTACAAAAGATACAAAACATGTTGAAAATAAAAAATAAATATAAGTATATCTAAAATAAGAAGAAGTTGTCAGATACAGAAATAAAAGATGGTATCAGAGATATAGTGGGTGACAATGTAGTTAAATATTAAGAATTATATACCATGATATATGTATCTTCTACATATATAATTCTTAATATTTAACTACATTGTCACCCACTATATCTCTGATACCATCTTTTATGTCTGTATCTGACTACTTCTTCTTATTTTATGTATACTTGTATTTATTTTTTATTTTCAACATGTTTTGTATCTTTTGTAGCCCTGAAGACGACCTGCAAAGTGGGTTGAAACGTCGGCAAAAATTAAAATAATTAATATATTTTAATTTATTATTTATTTGACCGCACCCTCAACTAACTCCTTCTCATAAATTAAAAATTGTTTGCAGAATACCAATAAGTTAAATAATAAATAAATAAAGTAAAAACGTTTGTTATTGGTGACCTTTCTCCTAATACTTTTTAAAAAACATAAAAAAAAAGGCTCTTTTAGTTTTCCGATTATATCTGTGCCAGAAAGGTAAATAACACTCTGTCTATTTTTACTCTTACATTACCATATATATGTTATATTTAATATATAGGAAGGGGAAGTATTGCGATTGGGAAAATTTTCGAATCTGACTATTCGACGAAAATACATGTTTTCAGGTATCCTAAGTCCAAATAACCAAGTCCTTCAAAATGTCCAGTGTGTTTGCGTGTATGTATGTGGTCAGTCTAGCTCAAAAACGAGTCGTATGATATTGTATATTTAACGTTTTTAGAAGCCTTCAATGTTACAGCAACATATCCGTCATAATCGGAAAATTGGAACTGAAACTTTATATAATCGATTTAACACATTTTATACGATTTTCACAAAAACGACTTTAATGATTTTGATCAAACTTAGTATATCAACTAATAATAACTTAGTATTATTAAGCAGTTTTTAATATAATGTAGATTTTATTTTTTATTTATGTTCTCTAACAAGGCCTTAATGGCTAATTTTCAATATTAGCTTCGTCTAAAGTACCTTTAATTTTTTAATTAACATAAATAGGTTAAAAATTAACCACTTCACATTACTCTTTGATATAAAAAATAGTTGAATATAAAATATAAAAGAATTTCATATACAATAGCTGGTGTTCATAAATGCTATCGTTGTTATTATTTAATATCTAATTTTATATAATTATAATAAGAGATATAAAAATAAAAATTTGTATATATATATATATATATATATATATATATATATATATATATATATATATATATAAGGGCATTTAAACAATTAAAAATACCCACAATGAAATGTGTAAATAAATATAATATCAATAATTTTTACTTTAAAATAACCATTTACCTGAAAATACTTATTTCTACTAAGAAGAGGATAACAAGTGAAAGTCAGGTGATGCGCACACCATATTTTTTTTATTACATACTTTCGTAATAAACAAACAAATTTTAATTCCTCGAATTTATGGAGCATTGGATATCTTGAACAAATATTTTTTTTTATCTCCGGGGTACAGATATGTGTCTTAAAACATAATTTATTCGTAAGATGTTTTTTTTTTTCATTCTATGTTATTTGCTTAAAATGTATCCAATCTATTGTTATGAAGGAATGTATGATAAAATTTTTGTTTTGCTTTTTGCAATAAAAATTTCTCAAATATTTTATTCTAATATATTGACATGAAAACTTTTTTTTGGCGTGTTTTGCACTTTTTTTGTGGAGAGTGAATCAGATTTATACACTAGATTTCGTTCGGCATTAACGCTCGAGTAATGTCAGCTAGAGTCGATTAATTCAAATATTTTTACATATTGATTAAAATATCTCAGAAATTATAAACCGGACCTGCATGTCGTAAGAGAGAGAATTCTTTAGCATTTCACCCTCTTTGTAATAGGCTATAATTCAAAATTGAATCTTAACGCGACGCCGGGTTAGGGAGGCGAAAAGGAAAAAATACTGTCGAAAACCAAATGATAAGGTTTGTTAAGCATATGAATTAAAAATCGGACCTGTACACTGTAAGCGAGAAAAATGTTCAGCATTTCATCTTCTTTGTAATGAGCTATTATTTATAACTTATATTTCATATTATTAATCTCGCGTTGTTGAAGTTATGACGTATATCGTGTGGTCTAAAGAACACACCTTAGTTTTTTTTTTTATTCTAAGAATTCAATAAATAAATAATATATTATTATTATTATTAGCATCTCTCAGTATTAATTATTAAAATTAAAATTTTGAATGGTGAATGAGAAATTAACTTACTCATGGTTATGGCAGCAGTACATATCACCATGACAGCAGGGGACACCTATTGGACAGCATCTTGCAGGATTGGCGATGCATCGTGCGTAACCCATAGGTGCAGGCTTCCCTAAATTAAAATATAATAATTATAATAATATAAGGCTTAAAGAACCCGAAGGTTCGATGCCGAAACCAGCAATCACTTTCAACACTCCCCTATTCACCTGTTGTCGTCTAAACTCACATCAGCTTTAACGCAATACCTTCGCTTCGGTCGAATATTTACCACTCGACACAATAAATATTAACGTTTTAGAGATTCTTTCATTATTAAACCTAACAATTTTTCACGCCCATTTTATTTGCCACAATATAATCATCTTGATTATATTAACTGGACACATTTCACGCAATTCGGCGTTGTGTAACTATCCCATTGTTTTATTTTCAAAAGCCTTAAGACGTTTCCCCATAATTTTCGCATCCTTAAAAAACCGTAGTTTCAGGATGCGCTTGATCGAGCCATTTACATCGAATCATCATCAATTCCTATCTTACTGACAGACATTTCAAAGTAAACCACAATAATGCCTATTCATCCCTCTTTTCTCAATCTGGGGGTGTTATTCAAGGTGGTATCTTTTGTCCTCTCCTTTACACAGTTTATACAACTGATATTCCATCTCATCCTAGCACTTGCATCACCACGTATGCCGGTGACATATGTATCCTATCAATTAATAACGATCCATCTATTACATCTCGAACTCTTTAATCACAAATCACAAACCTTGAATAATGGTGTCAAAACTGTAGGATTAAAATAAATTCCAATAAATCCCATTTAATCACCTTCGTCGTAAACCTATGTCCTCCTGTCCTACAGGATCCTTTAATAACACCCCATGTATCCCTGTTGAATAAATCCGATATCTAGAACTGGACAAAATCTCACTTGTAATCCTCATACCAGACTGAAACGTCAAGAAACTGCTTGACGTTCCGTTTATTCAATCACTTACTAGACAAACGATATAAACTTCCAATTAATTACAAAAGGCTCATATACTTGACTATAATAAGGTCCATTTGGACTCTGGGGTCCACTAAACCATCAAATTCCCTCCTATCCCATCCATACAACCCAAAATCCTCAATGCTCCTTACTTTGTCACAAATAAAATAATCCATAAAGACCTTAATGTTCCTTATGTATCAGATTTGGCCCAATCCAGATACCTATCCTTCCATAATAAACTTCATAACCATCCGAATCCTCTAGCCTTGTTTCCGAATAACTTTCCGGACCGTCTGAAAAGAATATGGGCTCTTGATCTCCTTATGTAAAAATACTATTAGAGTGATACCAGTGAGTAGTCTCTTAACTAGCGTATCCATGTGATTATATTCCTGTGTATATATTTACTTGATGTATTTATAATCTAATACAGTTTTAAACATTTTAAATAAATTAATCTCATTTTCAATTTTGTTATCATAGACCATAAACTTCTCTATATGTTCAAACACATTCCCGTTTAAATCGATATCACCTTTTTTTTTCAGCTATATATTTTATCTTATCTGTATTTATTTAAAGCCCCAGTTCCTCAGTGGCTTTCATCTACGTTGTCGTATTTAGTTATATAATTTTCGTGTCTCCCAGATACAATAGATACAAACTTTTCACAACTTATACATGACATGAAACTACTCCAGAATGTTTTCCGATTACAAATTATTACAATAATTTTAAGCAGAGAATATATTTAAGAAAAATTCGCTTACTAGGTCCGACTGAATTGGCAATAATGTTGTACATAGATAGCTTTGGGTCGTGATGACTAGATTCAGATCCTTCGGCGACTCCTAGCATAAGATGGAGGCAAACTAGAACAGAGACGATGAGAAGATATGGTGGCATGTTTACGAACTTTAGAAAATGGTGTCTCTCCGTTGAAGTCGAGACCTTTTATACTGTTTATCTTTCTAGGTTATATATAGATAAGACTTAATTGTGGAAAGATTAATTGATCAATCAAAGATAGTAGAATATGTTAATCTCTCACTATTTTTTTTTATAACTGTTAGTAATGTTTAGTATGACTTGTCCAGATACAAAGTTACATCATGGAATTTAAATAACTCAAATAGCTTAAGCAAGGTATGTGTGATAATAAAAAAGAGATAGGAGGTTTAAAATAAAGAAATTCATATTCAATGGTCAAATTTAAATTTAAAACAACACATATTAAGTTTATTTTTACTATAGATGTATGCCAATTAGATCCTATCCCCATTGATGTCATTTTACAGGGTTTAAATGCCCAATGTTCATATGCGTCATTCTCTAAAGTACCTTTAATATGGTTTATTTTAATATTTTATTTTAAAAGTTTAAATTATTTCTTTGTTACTCGGAAGGTAATGTTTCTTTAGATGTCAACCATCGCGAAATAATTTTACACATTTTTTTTTTAGATTGGTTGGTTGTGTATTAAAGACGTAGAACCTGTTTGTCATCAACGCCATTAATTAAAATTATATATTTTGGTTATAAATGTTAAGAATTAGATTAAATTTTTAAAAAATGCACGTTAAGGTTAGAGGTTGTTTATTGTTTATTAAATTTTAGTTATTTCAAGTTCGCATGTTAGGTAAAACAGAAAAAGGAACAGGAAAAAAAATGATAATAGGAAAAAAAAGAGGTGGGAAGTGCTGTGTGAGAGGTTCAGATATTTTTTAAGATTCCTTCTTCGGAGAGAAAACATATTATTTTGCCTAAGATTTTTTCATCATTTCCCAAAGCAGCCGCTGTATTTGCTGGTATTCCCCTTATGTTTAATTCTCTAATGTAAAAGGCACAACTCTGGAAGATATGGACCATTGTCATTCTCTCTCCACACTTCCGACAAATAGGCGAGTTTTTAAGTATTTAAGGTTTGTATATGAACCGGATGTGAGAGCAACTTTTTTGTTAAAATCGGCTAACCTGAAGTGCCACTTTATATGAACGCTGAAACACATTTTTACAATTTTCTGAAAAAGGACTATAACGATTTTGATTAAACTCGGTGTATCATTGTATAATTAAGTGGTCCTTAATATCAATTAGGTCTTATCCCCATTGATGTCACTTTACAGGGCTTAAATGCCCAATGTATATATATATATGTTTTCCTCTAAAGTACCTTTAATATAATATGGTTTATTTTAAAAAGTTAATCATTTCATATTATTCAGAGTTACGAAAAAAGACTAAATATAACTTTTTGAAAGAATATGATAAGTTAATAAAGGAGAAAAAAAAATGCAGAAAAACCTGCGTTGCTATAGACTGTAACGCCTAAACGAATGTAGTGATTTCAATGAAACTTCGCTAAAGTCATTTTCTCGAGACCCTTAAAATTTATCTATATAACATACTTCAACGAAAAGAAGCTGGACAAAAAGTTACGAGGGATGGTAAAATTAAATTCCTGTTTACACTTTCTTGTCGATATTGTGATAAGATGTTTCAAAGGTATTTAAATTTTCTAAAAAATGAAAGAAGTTTCATCGAAATCGAAGCAATATTAGTATAGATATCGTAATTTTAAAATATTATTAATTTCACTTACGTATATATGTAATAAATAGTAAGGGGATCGAAAAAAATTTTCAATCTGTTTTCAACGGAAATACAGTGGGTACAAATTACCAAATCCCGCAAAATGGTCTGTGTCTATGTGAACAGCCTAGCTCAAAAACGAGAAGTCGTACGAAACTTAAATTGCGTATTTAAGGTTTTTATATAGTTTCAATGTGACAACAACTTTTTCGTTAAAATCGGCTAACCGAAAGTTTATGTAACTGGTACTATATTTTTATAATTTTCTCAAAAATGGCTCTAACGATTTTGATAAAACTCGGTCTATAATTGTATGTATAATTAAGTAGTATTTAATATCATTTAGATCTTATCCCCACTAATATCACTTTACACAGCTTAAATGTCCAATACACCTTCCTCTAAAGTACCTTTAATATCGATTATTTAAAAAAAATTAACACTCTTTTATTGACAGTAACTATAAAAAATGGCTAAATATGATAAGTTTAAAAGAATATGATAATTGGAAACTGGAGAAAAAACTAAAATTGCTAATCCAGGTTGAAAATGAATCTCTGGAAATAACAGTCAGAATGCATACGTATAATATATCGTTGGAAAGAGGAGAATTTTAAAAATAATGTGAAAGAAAATTTTTTTTAGAAGGTAGCGGAGAGAGACGAAAAAGATATAAATAATAATTTCAGAAAACTCACATTATTTAACGTATATCACATGTTTCCAAAGAAATTAAATGAAATTTGCTTATTGCATGTAAGCTTTTAAATGTTTCTTAAAGTTTGAGTAAAAAGTAGGATACTATATCAATGGCATTGCTGTATATTGGAATGGGAGGAGCAGAATCCAAATTGGTGATCTGGGATTATGTTATTAGAATTTAGGATGGGGTACAGGCTTAAAAAAATTATGTTTAGTGAAGAAATAGCAAAACAATATGGAAATAAGTAGGTGTTATGTAAGGAATGAATTAATATTTTTTCATTGGTTGATTAGAATATTCCATTTAACATAATAGACTAAAATATTTATACAAATTGCTTTGCTAGGATCTATATTTAAACGCTGACTGGAAAGATAATAAAGGTAATAAAGACAAAATAAAGCATGGAATTGTCTAAATTATTGAAAAAAATAAAAATAAAATGTAATAGCAAACAAATGTCTTTAAGAAATAATAAAGTTAATATATCAGCCAGGAAAAAAAGTGTAGTAGACTATTCTACTCCTGAATTCATTATCTATATAGAGGAAGACATTATTAAGTATACCAAAACTAATGGACTGTATTTCTGTTAATAATAATAATAATAATAAGGCTTAGCGAACCCGAAGGTTCGATGCCGACACCACCAATCGCTTGTTACACAGCTCCCTCCACCGTTCGCCGTCCAAACCCAGTCCCTTCAGATCGGCTTTAATGCAATCTTCCCACCTTCGCTTCGGTCTACCCCTCGGACGCTTACCATTCGGCACAGCAAATATTAACCTTTTAGGAATTCTCTCGTTACTAAGCCCAACAACTTTACAAGCCCATTTGATACGCCGCGATGAAATTACCTCAATTATATTACCCGGATACATCTCACGCAATTCGGCGTTGTGTAACCGTCTGAACTCTCCGGTTAACTCATCCTTCTTCGGTCCGAATATTCTACGCAATACTTTATTTTCAAAAACCTTAAGACGCTGCTCATCCCTCAATGTAAGCGGCCAAGTTTCGCATCCATAAAGAACTGTAGGCAAGATAATTGTTTTATAGATTCTAATTTTTAAGTTTCGGGACAAGAGGCGCGAACTAAGTAGTTTTGTCACAGAAAAATAACAAGCATTCCCCGCCTTCAGTCTAACCTTAATCTCTTCTTCAATTTCGTTTTTTCTAGTTATCGTAGAACCTAGATACCTAAATTTATCTACCTGTTCAAACATATTACCATCTATATCAATATCACCAGTAGTATCGCCATTTTTGCAACTAACCATATATTTTGTTTTATCCACGTTTATTTCGAGTCCTAGTTCTTTACCGGCTTTCATTAACGTTGTCGTATTTAGTTTTATAGTTTCAACGTCTTCGCTTAACAGTACCAGATCATCAGCATAGCCCAGCACGGATGTTGTCCCGCCCAGATCCAACCCTTTCTCGGTTCGCAGTATTTCTGTTAATAATTGTCCGATATTTGTTTGTTTTGTAGGTAATTTAGTTATCTTTATAATTATCATGGGTACAATCAATAGAAAAATGCATACTTTTTGGGTTATTCGCAAATAAAGTTTACTTCCTTCATAACTTTTTATCTAGAATTTTTGGGGGATGGGACTATTTTTCGCATGTGAAGGAGAAGAATATCTTCAAAATGAGTGGTCAATTATTAGATTTGATGTAGTATTGACGAAGTAATGAAGTGCCGACAAAAAAATACTTTTTAGAAATAACATATAGGATAAGCCAAAAATTCTATAGCAATAACGAAATCTGCGTAGAAGGGAAATCCCCGACAATAGAAAAACTCAAACAATAGAGTGTATAAAAAAATGACCGTTTTATCGAATTCAAGATTTCAAAAGACTAAATATTTTAATCCTATTTAATACTTACCAACAGTCATTCGACTTCTTAAAAAAAAAGCCTCAGTTTAGTTATTTGTTTCAAAGAAGAAACATGACAGCGTCCTGCGAAATTCTCGTAATTTTAAGGCATTCAATAAAAATTCACAGCCGTTGAAGCAACTAATGAAATTATTAAATAGTAAGGGAAAGGTGTCTTTGACCAGCGCACTGCGCGGCGTAGGTTTGAAAAATGTAGCAGTGGAAATACAACGTTGGAAAGGAAGAAGGCCTCCGGGCGACCATTAATGGATATTGACGAGGTTATGCGGAAAGCTGTTGAGTCAAATCCGTCCACGAGTACTCGCGAACTTGCCAAGGAGTGTGGTGTGTCGAAAGATAATGTTAGTCACCAACTATTCTCCATGGGTATGGTGAAAAAGAGCAGTAGGTAACTCACGAACTTACTCCTCAGCAATAAGCTAAGAGATTAGAAATTTGTGAAAATTTATTGAAAAACCCTTGTCTTAAAAACTCCTGCCTCATCCACCTCAAAAAGTCCAGACCTCGCACCATCACATTAATATTTATTGAGATCCATGGCCCATTTTCTTCAAGGGGAAAAATTTGATAATTTTGTGGAAGTTGAAATTGCGGTCCAATAGTTCTTTGACAGCCATCCCAAACAATACTATCAGCGTGGGGTCGAGTAATTGGCTAACAGATGGCTAATGGCGGTAGATTAATAATGGACAATACTTTGAGTATTAATTGTATTTTATATCAAAGAAATAATAATACAAATATTTG